GGAGGTAACTCCAAAAGTGGGAACTGCGGTTTGCCATGTGCTTCGCGGTGGTGAAGTTGACAACAAGATGTGTAGACAGTTTGATGGGTTTACAAATTTTGTAAGTATAATTTTGTAGTTACAAATCATGTAGTACGCAACATATATGTATTACAGTTACATAATACACTTAAACATGTTAAATTAAGCCATAAATGTGCAGTTATTTCCAGGTTAGGAACACGTGGGTTGGCCTAAAATAGTGTCACGTTTTATGTTATTTTGACTGTTATAAGTGAACAGTATCCTCATGTTTTGGGTTTTTGGAAGTGTAGGAATTTCTGTTGTTCTTGCAGAAACAATTTCACACCTTGTCATGACTTTATCAATCACAATTTTCCATGTTTAACGTGTTGCATTACACAAGTATTTGTAATGTTTGTTTCTGGCAACTAAAGCCAAAGTAAGTGTATTTCATTCACAAAACATAATCCGAGGATACTTTATTTACCGAGTAACATTTATTCTGTAACTTGGAGGAATATTTTTCAGTGGTATTTAGTACTGTGAAGTTAGTAGAAAACATTTCCATCATGTTTTAGCTTGAACCGACAACCGACAATATGGAGGAATGCAAGAAGCAATAACACTGCGGTGTATATAATCATGATAAAAAGGAAGTAAAACGTCGTGTACAAGAATGAACAAACCTTGTTGTTATGTCTACAACAAAAGTTCAAGAAAATTTGAACTAACATAGTTATCGAGAGATACAGAAGTTATTGTCAAGATGTCTTTGAATGACTCATACAAGTCAGATGTCACTGATGGTGAATTAGATAAAGATGAGAGAGAAACAGACAGAAACAGAAAATATGATATGAATGTAAAAAATACAACTGTAAATCCAGAAGATTCTGTTAGTCAGGTTTCTGCATCAAGTCAACTTTCTGCAAAATCATTGATTGCTAGAGTTGCTGCTAAGAAGGCTGCACTAGGTGTTCGTGCTGATGCATTGAGAAGAACACAAGAGCTTAAACGCCGTCAAATGGAGCTTGAAGAATTACAAGAAACACTCAAATTGGAGATAGATATTGCAGCGATAGAAGCTGAAGAGTGTGTATATATGGCAGCCTATGGAAGTGATACTTTGTCAACAGGTAAACGTCGTATGTTACCTCATGAAATGCAACAGGGGTTTCAACGCACACCTGAAAGGACTGATACTTTGGAGGAGAAGGTAGAAAATGGTAATCAGCCACCAAATCCTAATGATAATGAGGCTTCAGATGAGAAGACGGATTCAGATAGATGGAGTCATGCAGCATTATTAAATGTAATTCATGAACAAGATCAGCAGATAAGAGCTCTCCAGCTGCAGCAGCAAAACAGTGTTTCATCTCATGCAGATGTTTTACCAAGGTATGAGATTACAGATCGTTTGGATAAAGTGGACCGTGTCGATAAGCATGATGAGTCAGATAGTCATCACAGTGATAGCCAATTTCTATCGATGCAGAAGCAAATGCTCAACTTACTTCAGTTACCTAAAACAGAGCTAATGACATTTGATGGAGATCCATTGAAATACTGGATGTTTGTACGTTCCTTCGAGAACAGTTTTGGAGATGCATATGTCAATAATAGTGTCAAGTTGAATCGCCTGCTACAGTATTGCACTGGGAAGGCTTTGTCAGTCATTGAATGTTGTGCAGTAATGGAACCTAAAGCTGGGTACTTGGAAGCAAGGAGACTTTTAAGTGAGCGTTTTGGAAATCAGTTTGTCATATCAAAGGCCTGGATACAGAAGGTTACTGAGAGACCCTGTTTGAGATATGGAGACAGTGCAGAACTGCGACGATATACAGACAACATCAGGAGTTGTGTTGTCACTTTAACAACCATGGGTCGCCTCAATGAAATTGATAATCAGATGCGGATGGGAAAGATAGTGGAAAAGTTACCACCTTTTCTTCAAGGAAGATGGCAGAGAGAAGCTGTTGGTGTTCTGAAGGCAACTGGCTATTACCCTGACATTGCTCACCTGGCTGGAGTCATAGAGACTGCTGCGGAGGAGGCGAATGATCCTGTGTTCGGAACAATCAACTTTTCTAGAGATGTCAAAATGAATACAAAGTTGAATTCGAAGAGGAATTCTGCATCTAACTTTAATATTCAAACCAAAGCTGGCTACAAAGGATATGGAGGGCAAACACAGTTTGGAAGAAAGAAATTACCTGCTTGCAAGTATTGTACTGGTGACCATGCCATATACACTTGTACACAGTTCAAACAGATGAGTCCAGAAAAACGGCGTGAGTTTGTTACCGAGAAACATTTGTGCTATAACTGTTTTTCCAATCAACATATGTCATACAACTGTTTACATCCAAGCAAATGTGGTGTGGATGGATGTAAACGTAAGCATTCAAGACTTTTGCACTTTACAGGAAGCCAGTGGAGTCGGGCTAATGATGCTGAAAAGAAATATCAGGAAATATCTACACAAACAACAGTTCAGTCTCTTCACAATTCCGTGTGTGGGGTTAATGGGGCCGGGATGAGCAGGATAGCTCTTCCCATTGTACCAGTTACCATTAAAGGTTGTGAAAGTAACTGCATCAGGACTTATGCCTTACTTGACCCAGGAAGCACAAATTCTTTCTGTACACAGGACATAGTTAAACAACTTGGTCTTCAAGGTAGTAGAACAACTTTATCACTGACCACACTCACTAGTGATAACTCAAAATCTGACACTACTATGGTAAATTTGGATGTTGCTGACTTGAGTGGTAAGCACTGGATAAAGATGCATCATGTTTTTTGTGATTCCTGAAATTCCAGTTTTTTTCAAACAGTATGGCATCTCAAAGAGACTTAGACAAATGGCCACATTTGAAAGATATCAGTCTGCATGAACTGGAAGGGGCTAAGGTAGAACTTCTTATTGGACAGGACAATCCCTCAGCGCTGGCACCAATTGACATTTGTAGAGGTGGTTTGGATGAACCCTATGCTTCAAGAACGATGTTAGGCTGGGTGGTAAATGGACCATTGGAGCATGGCAGCCCATGTGCAGTAACATCTCATTATGTCCAAGCTGTACCAAACGATTGTGAGTTACAGTCTTTAGTGGAGAAATTTTGGAAAGTGGATTCATATGGACTGGATAGTGAAACTACTATGTCTGTGAATGATCAGAAAGTTGTCAACACGTGGGACCAAAGTGTGGAAATTGATCATGGACATTACAAGATGGACATTCCATTCAAGTCTGATAATCCAGAATTGCCGAACAATTATGCTATTGCGGAAGCAAGATTGGAATCTTTGTATAGGAGACTTTCAAAGGACCAGAACTTGGCTGGAAGATATCAAGATGGAATAAAAGACCTATTGGAAAGGGGATATGCAGAAAAGGTGCCTGATAATGAAATCATTACAGGAAATAAGCCAGTATGGTACATTCCTCATCATGCAGTAGTTACTCCTCAGAAACCTGACAAACTAAGAATTGTGTTTGATTGTTCTGCACAGTGTGCAGGTACAAGTATAAATACTGAAGTCCTACAGGGACCTGATCTTACCAACAAACTGATTGGTGTACTTCTGAGATTTCGGCAACACAAGGTGGCTTTTATGGGAGACATAGAAGCTATGTTTCATTAAGTGAAGGTTAGTGAGAAGCATAAGGATGCACTGAGATTTCTGTGGTGGCCTAATATGGACAGAACTAAACCACCTCAGGTGTATAGAATGACTGTACATTTGTTTGGTGGGGTATGGAGCCCAAGTTGTGCTTCGTATGCTGTTAGACGAACAGCGGAGGACAATGCTAATGACTTTGATCAGGAAACAGTTCAAACAGTGCAGGAAAATTTGTATGTAGATGACTGTTTAAAGTCAGTGCCAGCAGAAAATGAAGCCATTCGACTCATTAAGCAACTCTGTGAGCTACTGTCAAAGGGAGGCTTTAGGATGACAAAGTGGATCAGTAACAATAGAACTGTGTTGGATTCAATTCCTAGTGAAGAGAGAGCAAAAGAAATAAAGAACATTGACTTGGCTAGTGACTTTCTACCTCAAGAGCGAGCTCTTGGAGTAAAGTGGAGTACAGAATATGACACACTCGGGTTTCGAACTACCAATCAATCTAAACCAGCTACCAAGAGAGGGTTAATGAGTATTATTGGTTCAGTGTACGATCCTTTTGGATTCATATGCCCTGTTGTCCTCAAGGCAAAAATCATCTTTCAAAGTGAATGTCGATTACATAAACAATGGGATGACCCACTGGAACAAGACAATGCCCAGAAATGGTCTACTTGGCTTGAGAAATTGCCATCGATTGAAACTTTTGTAGTTGACCGATGTTTAATCCCCTCAGGGTTTGATCAATCTAAACCAGCTACCAAGAGAGGGTTAATGAGTATTATTGGTTCAGTGTACGATCCTTTTGGATTCATATGCCCTGTTGTCCTCAAGGCAAAAATCATCTTTCAAAGTGAATGTCGATTACATAAACAATGGGATGACCCACTGGAACAAGACAATGCCCAGAAATGGTCTACTTGGCTTGAGAAATTGCCATCGATTGAAACTTTTGTAGTTGACCGATGTTTAATCCCCTCAGGGTTTGAAAACTTCAAGTGTGATATGCATCATTTTGCTGATGCGTCATTGGTGGGATATGGCACAGTGTCCTATCTACGAATAGTCAACAATGAAGGACAGATACATTGCGCTTTTGTGATGGGAAAATCTCGACTTGCGCCTTTGAAGCAAATGACAGTACCTCGTCTTGAATTATCTGCTGCTTTGATGGCAGTTAGAATTGATCAAATGTTACGCAGAGAACTGAGGTTGGAAATTGGGAGTCCATTTTCTGGTCTGATAGTATGACAGTTTTACATTATATCAAGAGTAAGTCCCTGCGGTACAAAACCTTCGTGGCAAATCGAGTGAGTGCTATTCATTCAGGTTCTTCACCGGACAGTTGGCGATATGTTAGATCAGACATGAATATAGCTGATGATGCATCCCGTGGCTTAGATGCTGATGAAATTCTTCATCGTGATCAATGGATTCATGGTCCAAGTTTCTTATGGCAAGAGGAGCACAGATGGCCAGTGATGCCTGAAATATTACAGGTATCAGAGAGTTCTTTAGAAATTAAGAACACAGTAGAATCTTTTGTACAAGTGAATACAACTGTGTGTGGTATGGACAGATTACTGGAGAGATTCTCATCATGGCTGAAACTGAAGAAAGCCACAGCGTGGCTTCTGAGATTCAAACAGTGGCTGCTTCAGAGATCAAAGGGAACGGAATTTACATCAGCTGTTTATCAGAAACATTTGACTGTACAAGAACTGAAGACTGCAGAAGTTCAGCTTGTAAAGTATTTACAGAGATGTCATTTTCATGAGGAAATAGATTGTCGGAAAAGAGGTGAACAAGTAAAGAAATCTAGTCCACTCTACAAACTTGATCCAGTCTTGAATTGTCTTGGTGTTTTGTGTGTTGGAGGTCGTTTGGGTAACGCCCCTATTCCAGAAGAATCTAAACACCCTATGATCATTCCAAAGAATCATTATGTTGGAGTTCTCATATCATCTCACTACCATGAGGTCCTTGGACATTCAGGGCGAGAACATGTTTTGTCTCACATGCGGCAAAAGTTGTGGCTTATCAATGCACGTACCACAATTAACAAGATACTGCGAAAATGTGTCCATTGTCGACGACATCAAGGTATTCAGAGCTCACAGCAAATGGCAACTTTACCCAAGGAAAGGGTAACTCCTCACAAACCGCCATTTACTTATGTTGGGGTTGATTGTTTTGGCCCATTTCTTGTAAAAAGGGGCAGAAGTTTGGTAAAGCGATATGGATGTTTGTTCACATGCCTGACAGTGAGAGCAATACACATTGAGAAACTTGATTCTATGGAAACAGATTCCTTCATCAATGCCTTGACAAGATTTGAGGCACGTCGAGGAAAACCAGAGATTATTAGATCAGATAATGGGACAAACTTCAAAGGGGCAAATCAAGAACTTAAACAAGCTATTCGGGAGTTGGATCAAAGTAAGATCTACAATTCTATGCTGGATAGAGACATACAGTGGATCTTCAATCCACCAACCGCCTCGCACATGGGGGGGGTGCGTGGGAAAGGCAGATTCGCACGGTGCGCAAAGTTCTGTCTGCTCTACTTAGCAAACAGAATGGCCTCAGTGATGAAGGTCTCAATACATTATTTTGTGAAGCTGAATCTGTCATCAATAGCCGGCCAATAACTGTTGTGTCAGATAGTGTGAATGATTGTGAACCACTTACTCCAAATCACCTACTTCTACTGCGCTCAAACATATCATTACCACCGGGTAAATTTCGAAAGGAAGATGTTTATGGTCGAATGTGGAGACATGTACAGTTTCTTTCTGATACTTTTTGGAGACGGTGGATAAAAGAGTATCTACCTACTTTGCAGTTACGCCAGAAGTGGTTAAAACCCAGTGAGAACTTGAGTGTCGGAGACATTGTGTTAGTGATGGAAGAAAACACACCTCGAAAGATATGGCCTTTGGCTAGGGTCACAAGGACATTTCCTGGAAAGGACAGGTTGGTGAGATCTGTGGAAGTGAAGTTGAGGGGTTCACTGTTGTTGAGACCCATTCACAAACTTTGTCTGTTGGAACATGTTGAATGAACTATTGCAGAGATTCTGTGATTGAACTATGACAGTAAGACTAATTTTGTTTCATCAAATGAGGACTTTGGGTCCCGTTTTGTTTTGATTTTCTGTTGCCCATGCTTGTTGGCGGGGTCATTGATGCATATGATTGTGTTGCTTGGGTGATTGCTCGTGATGTCAACCACTGGAGTGTCTGTACCTGGCTTGATTTCGCCGATAGCTGTCGCATAGCTGGAATATTGCTGAACATGGCGCAAAACAGGAAATTTTGAATGAAGCTTATGATTTGAAGTGTTTTCATGATTTAAAGAGATAAATGTTTGCTTTTAGATTTTGCTGCACATTTAGGGGCCGGGAATGTAACTGAAAGATTTAATTTTTCCGGATTGCGATCCACATTTTTTATGCCCAAGGGGCAAGGGAGTAACTCAAAAGTGGGAACTGCGGTTTGCCATGTGCTTCGCGGTGGTGAAGTTGACAACAAGATGTGTAGACAGTTTGATGGGTTTACAAATTTTGTAAGTATAATTTTGTAGTTACAAATCATGTAGTACGCAACATATATGTATTACAGTTACATAATACACTTAAACATGTTAAATTAAGCCATAAATGTGCAGTTATTTCCAGGTTAGGAACACGTGGGTTGGCCTAAAATAGTGTCACGTTTTATGTTATTTTGACTGTTATAAGTGAACAGTATCCTCATGTTTTGGGTTTTTGGAAGTGTAGGAATTTCTGTTGTTCTTGCAGAAACAATTTCACACCTTGTCATGACTTTATCAATCACAATTTTCCATGTTTAACGTGTTGCATTACACAAGTATTTGTAATGTTTGTTTCTGGCAACTAAAGCCAAAGTAAGTGTATTTCATTCACAAAAACATAATCCGAGGATACTTTATTTACCGAGTAACATTTATTCTGTAACTTGGAGGAATATTTTTCAGTGGTATTTAGTACTGTGAAGTTAGTAGAAAACATTTCCATCATGTTTTAGCTTGAACCGACAACCGACAATATGGAGGAATGCAAGAAGCAATAACACTGCGGTGTATATAATCATGATAAAAAGGAAGTAAAACGTCGTGTACAAGAATGAACAAACCTTGTTGTTATGTCTACAACAAAAGGTAAGAATCTGAGTCATAATCGTTGCTTGTCGCATGAGGCTTTTATATGGTGGAACAGTCGCTCTCATTCTATAACCTTATCTCTTTTGCTAGGATCGATCCACATGATCGCCTCTAAACAGAACAAACACATATTTTGATAACATTTAATTTTTAGAAATCTTAGTGTATGGACGTCTTCTGGATGGTGGTTTCCTGTCGAATCTGAATCAGAGGCATCTTGAATGCTGACAGAAGAATGAATTGTACCGTGGAGTTTAATGACAAACATTATGTAGTGCAAAACCATTTCACATTTTCAATTGCGAGTATGATACAGTCATCAGGCTATCACTTTTGCGATTGTTTCATTTCAGTCGACAATGGCCGACGTGGTGATGTAATGGAAACTGATCACAAACGTTGCTTATATGATGAATTCGTCTTTCTAAAAAATATTACTACTATAGAATTTTATATTTTGTAAATTAAAATATCTACTTTACAAAACTTGTTATTCATGTTCTTTTTTTCTGTGTTAATGCAAAATGTGATGTCAATACCCTAATGGTTTGAACAAAATATCCTAGTGGTTTGACAGCATCTATTGGAGAACTAAACAAACGATCCGTGCAGCTGAGGTGAACGAGAATCAAGTCACGCTGTCAGGATAAGTCAATCAAATACTTGTGAGAGGTCTACAAAAAAAGAGAGATTACCTCCGAATATGAAGGACAACTCCTGATAATCCCTGAGAAAAATATTTCGCTGCCAGGGTTTACCCCAAAATACTTTCTCATCCTTAAGACTTCTCAATGCCCTGGAAACATTGTATTCTTCTTACTTTCACAGAGTAAAAAAGGAAAAACAAGAAGATACAACATCATACATACGCACAATCATAAAATTGAAAATCTAAATGTGAATTTTGTTTCAGTGAATGATGGTGTTTTTAAACGCAATTTACCGAGAATAAGATGGTGTCCGTGGGAGAGTCTTGCCCCCTTGAACAAATATTGCAATGCCTGTCATTTTACAGAAAGAAAATGGAGCTATGACCTAGTATACAGTGAAAAAACGGATACATGATGAATGATTGCCCTATGTACATAGCACACATATTATCAAGGCTATCTGATAGTTCACGCATATCATACAATGGGCTATCTATCAGACTTCAGCGTTCTATTATATTATTCCGCAAGGTACCAAACCATGACAGATGAATAATGTCGTAACGCTTGGCCGGTCGTATAGACATTACACTGAACCGTTTGATCTGAATCACAGTGAGTAATACAGTAAAATCTCATGCAGGTATAATTTCCCCAGAGTGTGTCTTGACTTATGATATGCTCCTGCTTTGGTAATTATAATCACACAGAGGTTACGAGCCATCGGAAAGAATATTGCATGGAGGAAATGTCCTTCAATCAGTAAATGTTATCACCAAATCAATAAGAGAGAGCATGTAAGCAAAACAGCCGTGCAGATAACACTTCACAGGCTACTATGAAGTTGGAGTGATGGGGTAATCCAGTATTTAGATTTGATTGTTTGTGTCCCATGCAAAATTCTCAACATAGGTACAATGTGTTAAACCCAGTTCTTTTGTCCAGTTCTCAGTGTCTTTGTTGTACACACTGACACAATCTCTTTAAGATTGCTGCATGAGTGAGCTGGTACAAATAGCTGAGACCTTGACACATATTGAGTTTTTTTGTGACAAGGATGTGCTAATTTGAGGGGAAGAGTTGATACTCGTTGCCTCATGGACAATAAACAGAACAAATACTGGTAGTTTGCTAGCTGTGTAATGCTACACTCAGCAGTTTCCCAGCTGTTTGGCGACAGTTTGTAAATAAACCAGTTATCAACATCATAGTCATCGATCTACACAGTTGGGATCTCATTACAAATTAGTCCCCGACTGCGTCATACCAAAAGACGTTAAAATATGGTACTTGTTGGTCCCTGTCTGGGGCTCGGCATTAATGGGTACAACAAGGACTGGTCGGCTCGGAGTCAGTATAATGTGTCAGAGTGGGGTATTCATGCTTCACTGCGGCATGGTATCTCAGTGGGCTAGCACTATAAAACCAGCTTCAGTCTGGGCTAGTACAAGCAGCCGCACATACACATACACACGCATGCACGTCGTCATATGAGCGAAATATTCTCAAGTACGACGTTAAACCCAATTTCACCTCACCTCACCTCACCTCACCTCATTACAAATTAGAAATTAGAAACACATTTCCCTCTATGACAAGCATGGGATGCTGAAGATAACTTCTGACCCGGATGAATTTTGATGAATACAATTGTAGGGTTTATATTTTCCTTGCATTGGGATTAACGATTCTGAAAGATGAGAACATGTTTGGTTACTGTTCGCATAACAAATCAGTCCGGATTGAACTTTATACTGAGAGTGATAACACACTTTTAACCATCCCAGTAAACTGTCCGAACGAGTGACGTAGTACACTTAGATATATACACACGAAGATGGGATTATGGATAATAAACTGATGATTTCGGGGGTGGGACTGAGATCCGCTGCTTTATGGCCAAGGCATGGAACTAATACTGATGGTGAATACATTTGTTGGACCTGGATTATTAATACTTCAATATTAATCCTCAGCTTTTCAAATAACGACTTTGCAACACTAGAACAAATAATGTTACCCTTTTGAATCAGAAATAATTCTATGTTGCTCTGGACTAATAATTATTGACAAAACTGAAACATTGTCATTGGAGTGTGTACTTGAATACTTTAGTCAGAAATAAATAATATCGCATTATATATGATATATAGAACACGAAACAATGTTATTTTCGAATAATTCATCCTGGATAGATGCAAGCACTTAAATTTCATGCTGAACTTAACGTCGAGATTGAAGCTAAAATTCCCTTAAAAGCAAAAAGCCTCCTGCCTATAAATCATCGTTCTTAGTCGATCCTCTTTATTTGTGTTGGATGTGTAATAACACGTCAATCAATCAACAGGCTAAAAGACGAAAATCGTGGCAGGAAGCCGTGCTAGGAAATGTTCTGTGATTCCTGACAAACAAATGTCAAATATTGCGGGAGTCATAACTGTTTGGTCGATTAAGACTGAAGAATAAATCATTAACACAATTACGAAACAAATATAACAAACACAAAATAAACCTCCCGCCTCAAACAATCCATCACGCGTGGAAATCGTCCAACAGTATAAAATCCATTACAAGACAGCTCCCCGGGAGTTATTGCAACGGAAGTCGTTGTTTGTATGAATATTATCCTATTAACTCATGGCATGGTGATTACGGACCCGCTAGAGTATGCTTCAGCTGATAAGACGTTACGGGGCTTTGGATTTCATTACTGTGGGTTCATTTTTAGTTAAACACCGTTAACCTGGATGTTATGGAGATGTGTAAATGAGAGTTCCAATCTGTCAGGTGTTGGGATAATGAAAGGCATAATTAAT